CTAGCAAATATCTTTACAAAACCATTATGCAGTAGACAACACTCATATCTTCTTCGCAAGCTTGGAGTTTATGGCATATACAAACCACAAACGAGTGATGGAATGTAGTAATCACAATCGTAATCTTTGTGCTGAGATTATGCCTTGAAGTATGATGCTGATATTAAGGCTTACTTCTGGTAATCAGTTTCTTGACTATGTGTGATTGTACATTCATTACAATATTATTTTCCATCCTTGTATTTACATTTTTTTTTTTTTAAATATGACAGATCACATGTAAACAAATATGATACAAATATATAGAAGTTCTTCCTCTCTCTTTTCTCTTGGCATACTCTGGCATCTCAGCCACTCTTTACCTCTCTCTTTTGCATTTTGACATTTTCCATTAAGTCAAAAAAGCCAAGACTTAAATAGTAATTCTCAATAGAAAAATATATAAAAAATAGAAAAAGAAAAGAATAAGGTCATAGCACCCTCATTTTCATCTTCACCCAAAACCAAAAGCAAACCCTAATATCCTCATCTTTTCCATCAAAACCAAACCCTAAACAATACAACAATTCGCCAACATTGAATTAATTTTAAATCATAAACAACACAAAGATCACATCCATAACCACAAATAAATCATTGATTATTTTTTTTTTTCTTATTTCGGTTGTGTTGAGTGTGAATGAATCGATTTGGAGTTGGACTTGGACTTGGTTTGTTGGTTATAGTAGTTGCCCTTATTGGTAGCAACGTGTGCTTTACTGTGGCGGTAGCTCCTTCTTGGTTGTGGACATGGCGACAACCACTTCGTGGTAGCAACATATACCTTGCAACGGTTGTTTCATGGCAGTTGCCCCTAGTCTCCCATGGCTATTCCATCTAAGCCACGCCTAGTTTTGAAGCCTTATGCCTTGCTTTAGGGCTATAGCGGTGCCATTGCTTCTTGATAGCTGCTGTGGTAAGAATGTGAGCACATTTATGAATAGGGTTTATTAGGATTCTAAAGATGTTGATTAGATTTTTTAGGTCTAAGTTTTTTATTTGATTGGTTTTTTTACGGTAGATGGATAAGTCGATTCGAGGGTTTTGGATATTTTGATTTTAGGGTTCAAGTGTGGGTTTCTTGATTTTTTTGAGTTTCTTTATTTATTTATTGTATATATATTTAAATGAGTTGTAATTACAATTAATTGACTAATTTCATTTTATTTTGGAATGAAAGGTAAATAAGGAATTTAACTAGTTTAGGCGTGTCAAATGACAAATTAAATAACTCTGACAAACGGTAAAGACTAAAGAGTTTTTGAATTATGGTATACCTTAGGGATTTAGATTAATTTTGTCTTTTAAGTAAATACAAAACTCTGATAATTTCCAAGAATAACCCTAACAAAAACTCAATGACTTAAATATCACAAATATTAATGAAAAAATAAATTAATGTACCCATTTGTGTGATTGTGAAGTAACAGTGATATTAGTGGAAAGACTGTAGTTTTATCTTGTGGTTATTGGGCCTACATGTCTCATTTAATGAAGTTTATTATTTACCAATTTCCAACTTTATTGAAAATTTGTTTTGGAAAATGCAAACCAAATCATTAGATTGGGAAAGATGTCGCATTCATTTTACAAAGAAATTGCATATTGATATTCTCTCAATTAATTCAAAAAGCCAGTGATACCTTTCTTCTAAGTAGAGCAATCCAAATTCATTCGTGTTTTCTTTATATTGTAAAATGTATATTATGTCCCAATGATTTGAACGCCCAAAATTAAATAAAATCACCACCTCTTTATATATTTATTAAGGGCATTGATAACCCAATACACACGTAAAGCTCTAAAGCATTTTTGGAGTGCTCCATAAAGCAATTGGATTACTCAATGTTCTAGCCTTTTTCCTTTTATACAGTAAGCAAAATTTTAGATGAAGATATCAATCATGAGAAGATGTAAACGACAAGAGTTTTCAAAAGGGTTTTTGTTAATGCCGTGAAAATTAAACCTAGACGATATCTATGACTTTGACTGTAAAAGTGTTATTGTATCTGGGATTGTGTTTAATTAAGTATAAAACTTCAACTTCTAAGATAATGTTTGAGAATTGAGAGGATCGTTATTTACTCCTCTTTTGACCAGAAAGATAATTTTAAATTTAATTTAATAATTCCTAGTTAGATAACGCATGTGATACAAAAATTGTTGCAATATCATATTCATGATGATGAATTGTTGAAATTAATTATAATGATTTTCCCAACAATATTGCAAAGTAGTAATCCATTTCTTAATTATTAATTTTCAGCTTTTCTTATGGTTCATTGGTTTGTTCACGAGAAGAATGTAAACAAAATTCCTCAACCTTGTATGAAAAGGAGAGAAAAATGCACTCATGTCTAGAAGCCTATTAAAACTTTATAAATAAAAATTCTTTGATTGATTTTATATATAAAGGAAATATATTGATGAATATATACAACTTTATTGAGTCAGATATTCTTGGTACTCTCAAGCTTTGATTTGAATGTGCTTTCCATATACTTTCAATTTAGCATTCTTCCTTTGGCTGATCAGAAACTTTGGAGAATTTCTTTTTATTTCTATAAAACTTTGGGAAATTGCCCTTTGAATCTTCCTTTCAAGTTGTGTAGATGCTTTTCTTGGAAGCCGCATTTATCTAGGTTTCTTTTCTTTTTTCTTTTTCTGAATTAGTAATATAAATTATTTAGAGGTTTTTTTTTTTTGTAATGGTGGTAATCTAAAATATATTTTCTGACTAAAAAAGGTATTTATTTATACTTAATTCAGGATGATGAAGTCCAGTGATTGATATCCTTATATAATCATGTATAAAACCTAAAGTATATAATATAATTAATGATAGATACGTGAAAATGTAAACTTTATTCACGTTTATAAATTCTGTGTATTCAAAGCTACATGCATATGCAGATAACATGTGATTTCATAAATTACAACTGGAAGCTTAAACTAAGTTTATTCATATCAATAAATAAACAAGCACATGAGTGTAAAGAAGATACATTTAATTATAAAACGAAAATGAACTCAATCATCTGTTAAGCATCTCTTCTTTCTGCGTTTCGTTTCCGGCGGCACTGGCAGAACACCCCACTTTATTTATCCCTTTGTCTATATATCTTTCATGTCTATTGAGCTTAGAGACTTAAAATTTAGTGACATGCATGCCTCATACTTTATCATTTTAGTTAATATAATTGATATTTAAAAAACAGTAAGAAACAAGAAAGAAAAGCAACAAGAGAATAATAATGGTTAGGTAAAAATTTATACGAAAAAAGAAAAAGAAAAGGAGATGAAAGTAGTCAAAAAAGTTGGAAATACTGAAAGTGGATCAGGAAATTCTTTCAGATGATGTTTTTTGGTCTACCAAAATAAGAGAGTGAGTAACATAAGCAAAGCATAATGTGAACATAATTGTTGGTTGTTCATGCATTAAAAACAGTATATTTCTGTTTTTAACATTTACTTTTCTTTATTTGTCTACCAAAATTTAACCTTTGAAAGTGAGTTGTTGGAAATGAAATGAGATTAAGACAAAAGGTAATTGCAGATTTAATGAAGGGAGAGAGAGAGAAGGCAATAATGCTATGCAGGATAGCAGACAGAGGGTTGCTTTTTGGGTACTTGGGGAATAAAATGCTGTCTCTCTACGAGGATTGGCGTGAAGAGAGAGACTCATTTTCAAAACAAAACCAACCCCATTTGGGTTTATGAAAATTAATTAAATAACTTTCCTTTTTATCTCCCTGCCTTCTATCTTACACCTTTTCTCTTTTCTACTTTTTTTGAATTTCTGCTGGCTTTGTCTGTCCATTCAAAGCCTCTCTATTGAGTCTGATCATCAGTAAAAAAAAATTTGAATTGTAGGTCCCATTTCTACACCCTTTTTATGAAATCCCATTCCCACATATTTTTTACTAATTTAATTACCAAAAACTAGTAATTACTATTCCTAATTAAAATCATGTTCTTTTAGTTTTTGCATAATATTAATTTTGTCAATTACACATCACAAGGTTAGATTGAAATCTTTCTTTTGCAGCTTTTCATCGTCTGGGGAGATAAATTTTATTTGATAGAGTGCATCATGCCATTAACATTTTACTATTTATTTATAATATTATTTGCTACTCCCAACAAACAAATGGGTATAAATAAATATTGAAATTAACCCTTTTTATAACCTAATTATTAACAAGAACGAAATCTAGTGACACGTTTGACTGCCCTTTAGAGCGACATTGGATGATAAAAAAGATACTTCAGTGTAACTGTAAAACTAAATGAAGAGAAAAAAGAAAAGTGGAAATGTAAAACAACAAAATCCCGGGGTTGTTGGCCCAATAAGCAAGGTCCTGACCATTCAAATACTAGGAAATACCCCCCTCAAACTAACAATTGTTAATCAAATTTTAACTCTCAAACAACATCTTTTACACAATAAAGAGTGAATTAGGGGTGAATTGTCCCTTTTTTTCTTAGGTGTATGAGTGCCCTTACATGGATTAAGGTTAATTAGAATGGGAGGCTTTGTCCTATTAGTTTAAACTGCGAGATCCGGAAATACTAGACCTAAACCCAAGGGGGTCAATGTAATTATCTAAAAATAAAGCTGCAGAGGATTAAGAAGAAAAAATAATTAAATAATCAATAAGAAGAAGTATAAAGAAGGTAGATTGGTCTAGTCTGGTCTTTCTAAAACTCCTTTACTAAGTCCAACTCTAAGCTCATCTTTCCAAAATCTCTCTATTCCCTTCAAGTTTTCTGTGTTTCTCCCTCCAAGTATAAAATTATCAAAGAGGAAGCTGCTTATCAGCTTTTTCTAACTTCAGGGTAATCAAAAGAGGTGGGGTGGTGAAGGTGAGAGAAGAAAATAACAAGTTAAAAGAAAGTTTGGTTCCTGAAAGAGTGTTCCACAAAGGGGGGGTGGTGTGGGGGGTGGGTTTTCTCTAAGTGATGCGCTCAGGAGCTTGTACGGTCCAGCAGACCCTCACGGCGGAGGCTGCTTCAGTTTTGAAGCATTCTCTAAGTTTAGCACGGAGGAGAGGCCATGCTCAGGTCACTCCTCTTCATGTTGCAGCCACTTTGTTAAGCTCAAGAACCAGTCTTTTGAGAAGGGCTTGTCTCAAATCTCAACCTCATCATCATCAAACTTCACATCCTCTTCAGTGTAGAGCCCTTGAACTTTGTTTCAATGTGGCTTTAAACCGACTTCCGACAACGCCTGCTCCTCTCTTGCACGCCCAGCCCTCTCTTTCCAATGCTTTAATCGCTGCACTCAAACGAGCTCAAGCTCATCAGAGAAGAGGATGCATTGAACAACAACAACAACAACCTCTCTTGAGTATTAAGGTAGAGTTGGAACAGCTAATTATTTCTATTTTAGATGACCCAAGTGTTAGTAGGGTTATGAGAGAAGCTGGTTTCTCTAGCACTGCTATCAAAAATCACGTAGAAGACTCTTCAGCTTCTTCTGTGTTTCAGTGTTACAGTGCTTCTGGTGTTGCTGGGGTTTTTTCATCACCTTGTTCTCCTTCTGCTACTGATAATCATCAAACTCAAAGAGAAATAATCAATCCTAACACTCTCTGGCAAAACCATTTCTTGACTTCTTACTCTTCTTCTGAACAAAACCCACTCCTCTTTTCTCCTCAAAAGAAACTTTTAACCAACTTCACCACAGATTCATCAGCTTCTTCTGTGAACTGCAAGGAAGATATCAAGTTGGTGTTTGAGGTGTTGGTGAGGAAGAACAAGAGGAGGAACACAGTGATAGTTGGAGATAGTGCGTCCATAACTGAAGGACTTGTTGTAGAACTGATGGGGAGAGTGGAGAGAGGTGATGTTCCTGAGGAGTTGAAGAAAACTCAAGTCATAAAGTTTCAGTTTGCACCAGTGAGTTTGAGGTTCATGAAAAAGGAAGATATTGAAACAAATGTCACTGAACTCAAAAGGAAAGTCGATTCTCTTACATCAGGAGGAGGTGGTGCTATTATATACACAGGAGATTTAAAATGGACAGTCGATCATAATCAAGAAAGTTTTAACAGCGAAATCTCAAGTTACAGTCCCATTAATCATCTGGTTTCAGAAATAGGAAGGATAGTATCAAATTCTATCACTTCGAATACAAAGGTGTGGTTGGTGGCAACAGCAAGTTACCAAACATACATGAAGTGCCAAATGAAGCAACCTTCACTGGAGATTCAATGGGCACTTCAAGCAGTTTCTGTACCTTCTGGTGGACTTTGTCTAAGCCTCCATGCTTCCTGGTAATTATTCATTCTTGCTTTACACTTTACCCTATTTAATTTGTATTTTATTCATTATGTAAGTAAATAGATTTAAAATAATTATTTATTAATGGGTTATATCTTCCATTTTGTTTTTATTTGAACCTTTTTGGTCCCAAAGGCTTCAGCTTATGGCTGAATGAGTCCAAAACAACTGTGAGGAATCACTGTCTTTGTGTTTTCACTTTGTTTTGTCAGGTTTATAGCTAGCCTCTGCAGATTACAGATTTCTATTACCAGAAATCTAAACTTTAAAAGTTAAATAAAAAACACTACTCTAATTATTTTCTATTACCAGAAATCTAAACTTTAAAAGTTAAATAAAAAACACTACTCTAATTATTTTCTATTACCAGATTTCTATTATGCACTACTCTTGATTATTTTCTAGTTAGCTCAAAATAACTCTATTAGAGTTCTGATGCTTTGACAAAAATGTCCTTGTGAGAAAAAGTATTATAAAAACAAATATTTTTGTTTTATTTTATTAACATTAAAAAAAGACATTTGGAATAACAATTATTGACATGTTGGGATTAATATTGCAGTGTCNCCTTTCAAATACTAGGAAATACCCCCCTCAAACTAACAATTGTTAATCAAATTTTAACTCTCAAACAACATTTTTTACACAATAAAGAGTGAATTAGGGGTGAATTGTCCCTTTTTTTCTTAGTTGTGTGAGTGCCCTTACATGGATTAAGGTTAATTAGAATGGGAGGCTTTGTCCTATTAGTTTAAACTGCGAGATCCGGAAATACTAGACCTAAACCCAAGGGGGTCAATGTAATTATCTAAAAATAAAGCTGCAGAGGATTAAGAAGAAAAAATAATTAAATAATCAATAAGAAGAAGTATAAAGAAGGTAGATTGGTCTAGTCTGGTCTTTCTAAAACTCCTTTACTAAGTCCAACTCTAAGCTCATCTTTCCAAAATCTCTCTATTCCCTTCAAGTTTTCTGTGTTTCTCCCTCCAAGTATAAAATTATCAAAGAGGAAGCTGCTTATCAGCTTTTTCTAACTTCAGGGTAATCAAAAGAGGTGGGGTGGTGAAGGTGAGAGAAGAAATTAACAAGTTAAAAGAAAGTTTGGTTCCTGAAAGAGTGTTCCACAAAGGGGGGGTGGTGTGGGGGGTGGGTTTTTTCTAAGTGATGCGCTCAGGAGCTTGTACGGTCCAGCAGACCCTCACGGCGGAGGCTGCTTCAGTTTTGAAGCATTCTCTAAGTTTAGCACGGAGGAGAGGCCATGCTCAGGTCACTCCTCTTCATGTTGCAGCCACTTTGTTAAGCTCAAGAACCAGTCTTTTGAGAAGGGCTTGTCTCAAATCTCAACCTCATCATCATCAAACTTCACATCCTCTTCAGTGTAGAGCCCTTGAACTTTGTTTCAATGTGGCTTTAAACCGACTTCCGACAACGCCTGCTCCTCTCTTGCACGCCCAGCCCTCTCTTTCCAATGCTTTAATCGCTGCACTCAAACGAGCTCAAGCTCATCAGAGAAGAGGATGCATTGAACAACAACAACAACAACCTCTCTTGAGTATTAAGGTAGAGTTGGAACAGCTAATTATTTCTATTTTAGATGACCCAAGTGTTAGTAGGGTTATGAGAGAAGCTGGTTTCTCTAGCACTGCTATCAAAAATCACGTAGAAGACTCTTCAGCTTCTTCTGTGTTTCAGTGTTACAGTGCTTCTGGTGTTGCTGGGGTTTTTTCATCACCTTGTTCTCCTTCTGCTACTGATAATCATCAAACTCAAAGAGAAATAATCAATCCTAACACTCTCTGGCAAAACCATTTCTTGACTTCTTACTCTTCTTCTGAACAAAACCCACTCCTCTTTTCTCCTCAAAAGAAACTTTTAACCAACTTCACCACAGATTCATCAGCTTCTTCTGTGAACTGCAAGGAAGATATCAAGTTGGTGTTTGAGGTGTTGGTGAGGAAGAACAAGAGGAGGAACACAGTGATAGTTGGAGATAGTGCGTCCATAACTGAAGGACTTGTTGTAGAACTGATGGGGAGAGTGGAGAGAGGTGATGTTCCTGAGGAGTTGAAGAAAACTCAAGTCATAAAGTTTCAGTTTGCACCAGTGAGTTTGAGGTTCATGAAAAAGGAAGATATTGAAACAAATGTCACTGAACTCAAAAGGAAAGTGGATTCTCTTACATCAGGAGGAGGTGGTGCTATTATATACACAGGAGATTTAAAATGGACAGTCGATCATAATCAAGAAAGTTTTAACAGAGAAATCTCAAGTTACAGTCCCATTAATCATCTAGTTTCAGAAATAGGAAGGATAGTATCAAATTCTATCACTTCGAATACAAAGGTGTGGTTGGTGGCAACAGCAAGTTACCAAACATACATGAAGTGCCAAATGAAGCAACCTTCACTGGAGATTCAATGGGCACTTCAAGCAGTTTCTGTACCTTCTGGTGGACTTTGTCTAAGCCTCCATGCTTCCTGGTAATTATTCATTCTTTCTTTACACTTTACCCTATTTAATTTGTATTTTATTCATTATGTAAGTAAATAGATTTAAAATAATTATTTATTAATGGGTTATGTCTTCCATTTTGTTTTTATTTGCACCTTTTTGGTCCCAAAGGCTTCAGCTTATGGCTGAATGAGTCCAAAACAACTGTGAGGAATCACTGTCTTTGTGTTTTCACTTTGTTTTGTCAGGTTTATAGCTAGCCTCTGCAGATTACAGATTTCTATTACCAGAAATCTAAACTTTAAAAGTTAAATAAAAAACACTACTCTAATTATTTTCTATTACCAGAAATCTAAACTTTAAAAGTTAAATAAAAAACACTACTCTAATTATTTTCAATTACCAGATTTCTACTATGCACTACTCTTGATTATTTTCTAGTTAGCTCAAAATAACTCTATTAGAGTTTTGATGCTTTGACAAAAATGCCCTTGTGAGAAACAGTATTATAAAAACAAATATTTTTGTTTTATTTTATTAACATTAAAAAAAGACATTTGGAATAACAATTATTGACATGTTGGGATTAATATTGCAGTGTCCAGGATTCAAGGTCACAAGTATGGGAAACAAAGCCTTCTACTAACAAAGAAGAAGACAAGCTGAGCTGCTGTGCAGAATGTACTTACAACTATGAAAATGAAGCTCAATTATTCAAATCAGGCCAGAAAAAGCTCTTGCCTCCTTGGCTACAATCACATAGTGGAAATGCCAATCAAAAGGTTCGAAATTAACAATGTTTTTATTAAGTGGGTATGTTTCATTTTCTCCAAATTAAATTTATAACTCAAACTCTTCATTTGAATTATTTCTAGGATGAAATTGGGGAGTTGAGAAAGAAGTGGAACAGACTATGCCAGAGCGTACACCAAGGAAGCCATTTTCCTGAAGCAACATTTTCCCGGAGTCATAGTTTTGGAAAGAGCTATTCCTATGCATCAACATATCCTTGGTGGTCTAGTCAGACCGCCATTTTCCCGGAATCAAATTCAATCTCATTTGCTGAATCTGCTGCTACTTTAAAGGCTAATAACACTTTTCATTCTGTACCTAGATTCAGGCGACAACAGTCTTGTACTATCGAATTCAATTTTGGAAATGATACCCACGAGATCAAAGGAGGTGAACCAAGTTTGGATTCTCTGAAGAGCAGTGGAGATAAAGAAGTGAAGATCACTCTTGCTCTTGGGAATTCTTTGTTCTCAGAGAAAGATAGAACTTCCACAGAAACGAAACGAGGTGATCTATGCAAGGTGTTGCAAGAAATGGTCCCGTGGCAAAGTGGGATTCCTTCAATAGTTGAAGCTTTGGCTGATTACAAATTAGCCAAGAATGGGACCTGGTTACTCATTCAAGGGGACGACATAATTGGTAAAAGAAGATTGGCGCGCGGTATAGCAGAATCACTCTTCGGATCAGCTGATTTGCTATTGAACATGAGTATGAGGAAGAGAAATGATACTGCTCCAGCCTCGGAAATTCTTTCCAGAGCCTTGAAAATGCATGAAAAGCTAGTTGTTTTTGTGGAGGATGCTGATTTGGTTGACACTAAGTTCATAAAACTCCTTGCGGAAGGATCTGAAAGTGGTATATTTGGGGAATCAAGAAATGCAAACATTGGGGAAATAGTCTTTATTTTATCTGAAGACGGAGATAAGATGAAGAATGAAGAGTGTGTCATAAACATGACATTGGAGGTGCGTGAAAGAAGTAGTAGTTGTGATCAAAAGAGGAAAGCTGAGTGGGATTTTTCAAACAAGACCAAGAGTCCAAGAATTGAAGAAAAGGATGCTGAGAGTGGCACAAAAAAAGATTTCTCAAGGCAGTCAAGTTTCAACACACTTGATCTCAACATGAAAGCCGATGGAGAAGATAATGAGACTGAAGAAAAACTTGGAGATTTAAGCCCTATTTCAAGTGATTTGACACGTGAAACAACAGCTAATCCTCCAAATTCAAATGGCTTCCTTGATTCCATCCGAAATCGCTTCGTTTTCAACCGAAACTTGACAAAAGATGAAGATATCAGGGAGTGTTTCTTGTCAAAGTTAAAGGAGTGTTTTGAGGAGGTTTTCAGGGGCCAAAACAGGGTAAATTTTAGTGTTGAAGAAAGAGTTATAGATGAGGTGTTAAATGGTAGGGGTTTATTTGTAAAAAGTTTGTTTGATAAGTGGGTAAAGGAAATTTTCCAAACAAGCTTGAAAACAGTTAAAATTGGCGGGAAGGAAGGTATAGAAATTAAGTTATGTTTTGGGGGTAAAAATGAAAAGGTCTCGGAAGATGGATTCAAGGATTCATGTCTTCCAAAGAAAATCAAGTTTTCTGTTTAATTTAGAGTAATTGGGTCGTCCTTTGTAAAATCCATCGTTTAGATGTGTAACGGCCTTACTTTCACAATAGGATGTGCTTTGTTTTCTCCTTTTCATCTTAATCTCTCGTTAATTTTCTTTCATTCTCTTATGATAATCCTTATTTCTTTGCTTCGGTGATGGTTAAAAGGAAAAAAAAAATCTTGAATACAACAATTATGTACCTACTAACAAATGAAAGCTATGCCAACACCCTTGACATTCATGCTATCATTGATAGCATGAATGTGTATGTGTCATTATACCAGTGCTCTGAAACCTAGACTGAACCGGCCAGTTCAACCTGCTCGATCAAGAATTGCCCCCCTCCCCGATTCAGAAACACTCAAAACACGGTTTTAGCTTATGGCCCAAATTGGACCGGCTTTGGACTGACGTAATAGTAACAAACCATCAATCCAACCATCATAGTAACTAAACCAAGTCACTAAATTCCTAATTTCGATAGCTTCCCCCTTGATTTCGACAGCTTCCAATGCCAACCATCCCACCTAAAACCACCATCAACATCACCTTCATCTCTACGTCAAAACTCTCATCATCTTGAACTCCAATTGACCATCGATCGTTGCTGCCACCTGTCTGATTCTTGAAAACCGACTTTCTTCCTCCCTAATTCTGGTAGCTTCCGATGCCAACCATCCCACCTAACACCACCATTAGCATCACCTTTATCTCCACATCAAAACCCTCATCATCCCAAACTCAGATTGGTCGTTGATCGTCGTCATCGATATCTGGTTGCTTGGTGGTTTCCTACCTAGATCACGGGGTGTGTTTGCTAGATTTTAAACCTATTGAACATGACATCACTGGTCCATCTAGTCGGTCCAACCGGTCAAACCAGGCAACCTGGGAACCAGCCCCTTGACCAAGTCAAAGGGTGGTCCAAGTTTCAAAACATTGCATTATACCCACATTTTTTCCCATTCCAAAACTCCGCTACATTGAATCTTATATACATAGTCAATATCAAATGCAAACGTTTGCATATATTTTTAAAAGTCAACTGTTAATTATTTGTCAAATTAATTTTACAAAATGCAAAAATTAAAACCAATACTTGATTGGTACGTTAAAAAATATATTTAAGACATCACATTAAGTCTCATATTTATAAACAGGGTTGATAACATAAACAAAATAATGTAGTTTTAAGTCTCATACTAAAATAAGTAAAGGTTATGTAAAGTGGAATCCATTATTATGTCTAACACCTAAACTGCTTTTCCCAACGTGGAGTAAAATTTTGGTTCTCTAACATAGCATTCACCGGCAAATACATATTGCTTGCAGAGTTACAGAATTTAGAAAACATACTATACATATTATTTGTTACAAAAATCATTTGAAGTCCATAAAAAGCTTGATAAATGGAAACATAAATTCAAAATACAAACATACAATAAAGTAGAAGGTGACAAAAGTTTATTAAGATTATTTAATGACATGATGAATAACTCTACAACATCTATATATGATTTCTAAATTAATGACAGTATTGATCACAATGATTTGACAATGAACGAATAAAAGAAAGATTTAAATAACCCATATGGTTTAAGCAATGATGAGACTAAGAAGCAAAGAGCTAATCGTTTAACCAGGACCGTTTCTCCAGCCCCTTCAAGTTTAATCAAATAACCGAAATCTCCATGAGATTTTAGAAATAACAAAAAAGACACTAAGGATAAGGGTAGGGAGGATGTGGAACTCACCACAAAAGAATAAATAATGGTTACTAATATTGTTTTGACTGCAATCATCATAACCAATAAAAGACAAATCATATAAATTTTATTTATTAATTGAAATACCATTACATTATCACTAGAAGCCAATTAATGCTACTTTTGAGTTTAAATTTCCATGTTTAAGCATCATTATTTTGACCATTACAACCAAAGATATGATTACATCCAACGGCGGAAGTGGGGTCTGTCTTCGTATCATACAACATTCAATTATTTCATCTTCATGTGTTGGATTAATTAATAAAATCCATTCATTCTTGCACTACTTTATAAAAGCTCTTCACTGTCCTAAATAAATTAGGGAAATAAAAAAAAATAACAATATAGTATAGTCCATGATAAATATGTGGTTCATTTTATTTAATTAAAATTTAAGCATATGATTATAATCTAACTTCCACTAACACGATATTGAAAGGCATTTTTTCATCATTATCAGCCTCATTTTCTTACTTATTAAACTGCTTTTTGTAGTTGGGTCCATCACTTTTTGCTCAATTAGTGAGCCATCAATTGTCAAGTTTGATTAAATTATATCTGCAAAAACATCATGCATTAGGTTTTAATCACTACTTTTCCTCTTTTTCGCATGCACGATTACTCTTTTGGTTTGAGCTTTTATCCCAACTTTATAATATCTTATCATATGTGGTTACTAATTAAATGAATGATCAATACTAATTCGTTAGTTTTTTACTCTCTTTTTTATTTAGTTTTACTTAGTAGTTCTATAAACGACTTCGTTTTATTAAATTTTAAATCGCTATAACAAAAAAAATAACTAAATTTTTTATATTCACTTTGTATGCTTTGCACTTATCTCTTTAATTTTTCACTATTTTAAATATCTTTTTCTATATTTCTAAAAGAAAAAAGAAAAAAAAATATTTTTATTGCAATCATCAATAATTTCTTCTAAAACTTAGCGCTCTCCCTAGGCTTAGCAAAAGCCCATCATATACGAATTAATAATTTAATCAATAATTGCGTGCAAAAACAAACTAAATAAAATTTTAGATTGTAAATAAATAAAAATAAAAATAATTATACAAACTTAAAAAATGAAAATTTTGAGATAGCTTAAATTCTTTATTACCTTATGAATGATATTAAACTAGTTTCTTTAGTTAATTTACCTTAGAAAATTAGGATTTTTTTTTTTTTTTTTAACACATTTCTTGTATTGAAAATATTAAAATTTATATATTTATCATTATAAAAGAATTTTGAAGTATATTAATTTTTTAATTTTGGCACTCACCTCCGTTTCTTAAAATTGTTCTTTGAAAAGTAGAATGATCACTTTTGAAGATTAGTTTGGGAACTTTGGGTTAATATTAAACCCCAAGACATTTCACTAACTTAGCATGGTTTTTTGGCCTGCTATAATGTTAATTCCTGAAAAGGTTTGATATATACTGACCAAAATACTAGTAATAAGCATTAGTTTAAAATTCATGGCTTTCATTTATTTAATTGTTGAGAAGCTTTTAATAATTATACCACTTGCCTATAGCATGGATTGGTAGCCTAATCCATGTTATAGTTTTTATTCATTGTTATATAGAGTATTTTCTTTCGTCTAATAAATATTTCTAAATTAATAAACAGCTCTTGACATAAAAGTAAAACTTATATCATATTTATGGTATAAATTGAATAGCCTCATAATTATACATTTACCAAAAATTCATCATAATTACATATTGAAGTAAAATTGAAACTCAAATCATATTCATGCTATAAATTGAATACACTTTTTATTTATACATTTACGAAAATAAAACTTAAATCATATTCATGGTATAAAGCTAATAGCTTGTATAAATTTACCAAAATTTATCTCATCTCTCTGGGACAAAAGCCTAATTTCTTTCGCCTAATTAATATAGTGTAATACTGCACTGTTTTGGGTTTATAATAAAGTGTAGAAGTCATGATTTATTGTATTAGTGGCCACTTGTCATAAGATTCGATAAAGATCATATTAGAAAAGGATTACAAACCTATATCGATAGCAGTTAATAATAATATAAATGGCAAACTTAATTCTTTAGATACAAATATTTTGCTTGGCTTTATAGTAACAAGGCTAATGACAATTTTTGTATGGTATTCATCTTATATTTAAATATCTAAAATAAGATTTCTAATAAGATTTTTAATGATATTACAAATATTGATTTAAAGAAAAAATAATAAACTTCAAATATTGATTTAAAGAAAAAATATTAAACTTTATTTTATTAGTGGCTGATCTGGTTGTTTCTAGCCATGTCCACCATGGATTTGGCCAAAAACAACTAGATCTGCAGCCAGATTTTTATCGTTACGACGGCTAGAGAATTTAGCCGTTAACGCCAGCTAGAAATCTAGCTGTCATTTATGGTCATAAATTTATGTTTTCTAACTAATCCACGATGGATCTGACCAGAAAAATGCTAGATCTACGCACGATCGACCAAATCCAGTCGGTCGTATGCTGTCTGACAACTATCTATTGTCGTCCGACGGTGATGATTATGGCCAGCAATGGCTGGGTTGGTGTGGTTTTGTTTGTTTTTTAATTTAAACTTTTTTTTTGGGGGGGGGGGGGGGGGGGGGGGGGGGGGGGGGGGGGGGGGGGGGGGGGGGGGGGGGGGGAGGGGGGGGGGTGGGGGGGGGGGGGGGGGGGGGGGGGGGGGGTGTTTGCTAAATTAACAAATGTAAATGTTTAAAAATAATCTAAATTTTTTTAAAAAATGTTTTCCAAAAATGTACCAAATACTTTTCAGCTTTTTATTATTCGAACTCTGTATAATTTTTAGATATTATATCAAACACATTTTCAAAATCTTATTCTATTCGATTTAATTTAACTCAACTCAACTTAAAATAGTTTTTCAGAATAACTTTTTTCAAATAATCTACCAAGCATACTCTTAGATATCCTTAGTGCAAGTAGTATAAAAGTAAAGTATGCACTACATTAATAATTAATTAATGTAGTATGTTAAATCTAAGGTATAAATATTGATAAAAAAGATAGACATAGTTTCAAAAAACTAGTACATACATCTGTATAGTGTTGGGAATATGCAAAATCATCTTAAAAGTCTAAGGCTCCGTTTGGTTGGTTTTTGGGAATACTATTATTAGTATTCCTAAAAAAGTTAAACAGTAAAATACCCAAAAACTCACAATATTATCCAATATTATTCAACTTTTTTTAAACCCCCTAAATTTGTTAATTTAATTAAATACCCCTAAATACTTTTTTTTGAAATTACAAAAACACCCCTAAACCTACATTATATCAGAGTTTG